TTTCAGGAAGCCGCTCCAACGAGTTCTGCTCCGCTCCTGAAACAAGAGAGACTTTGATGGACACAGAGAAAACTAAGTAGAAAGTAGAGAGTGGAGATTTTCTTGCATTTTTCATTTAGTTGCAAAAAAAAAAAAATGAAGCAGTCTTGCTCCTGAAATCGCCGCCATCACGGTTGTCCGAGCAATTTCCCACACAGATATTCTCCAAAGAAAGCCAACACCTCGCATTTAATTCAGCAGATAATCAGATCTGATTAAGTTTTTAATGACACAGCACTAGTCATCTAAAATACAACTTGCCTAATAATTGTGTACACGCCTGGCTTCTGTGCTAAAAAAGTTGAGACTGACAATCGAGTGTTGGCTGAAAGTACAAAAACTTACCTTAAGTACAAACAGCTTTCTGCACGTGGATTACACCTTCATCCCTCAGTCTTGCTTCTGAAAGCCTCAGCTAAAAGCACAGGCTTTAGCTGAGCACCGACAGCTTCGACAAAGAGGAACAAGAAGCCACAAGAAAGAATTCAGAGGCTTTTCCTCTTATTCGCTAAGTGGTTCTTCATGATTTGACAGCCAACGCAGACTTTGCCGCGCGGGCGCTGAGACTTCAATGTAGAAAAAAAAAATCATTTACACGTCTAAAAATCCAATTTGATGGACGGCCTAACGAGGCTGGGAGCCGCGGAGCGGCAGGGAGGTGATGGAAAGAACCTCGGCAAACACCTGCACAAAACAGGAGCATCGTAAATACAGGTCCTTGAAGACGTGCATCGACTGGTCAGAGGGAAGGATTTGTTTATCATAAATCGGAGCAAAAGCTTCCTCAAACAGGAAGAGGATGCAGTCGGAGTGTGGAAGACGAATCGCTGTGAATGGGTACCATCCATCACAGTGGCGGTGCGAAGAAAGAAAATTAAACTCATCTTTTTAGTCACCTGTTATGGGACAATAGATTCTATCCTGATGGTTTACAAAAAGATGAGAAACGTGTAAACGGTCCGATGCTTCTTGGTAAAGATCACCCGACCGTGCGCTTTAGGAACTTAGAAATGTTGCATTTTCTCAAGTTTGGTGAAGAAAGAAAGCCCTTTTGTGGCCATGTGATTGTGAAACAGCAAAGACAGATACAAACAAACCCAAAGATACAATGATCGACATCTTTGGGAAACCAGAATTAGAGGCGTTTTCTTAGCAAAAGACATTTTTGAATAACAAAATGAGAGAAAAAAGAGACTTTCCATTACAACTGCCCATTTAATACTTGATAGGGAACAGCAGCGTACATTTTGTGGTCAACACTCAGGACGTCTAAACCAACCTACGGTATTGAGAGACGGGCTCATCTGGACCCAGCGGGTTTTTTTATATCCAGTGTGCGGTTTGACGGTGTCACTTTACGACTGGTCCAAATGCCAAAATTGTGTGGCCCCGGACTACCATTGACATTTTTGGCCCTGATGTCAAAACATTTGGACACCACTGCCCTACATGGAAACGAGGGTTTAGAAGACGTTTACATTCATCTGCACGATGTCCCAAGTATGTCCAGCGGAGTTGAATTAGATGAATCGATGGATGGAGTCCCCAGGGGGACATGAAGGATTTTCTTTTATTTTGCATTCCCTCGCAATAATCTACTGATCAGTTCATGCAGCATAATTGGATACTGTAAGCCTTTCTTACGGCGGCCATCGCAGTTTCTGCTGCTATATAAGGTTATCGTAAAGTTTTTCCATGCTTGTTAATATCTCATCATGAAATATCTGAAGTTTTATGTCTTTTTCTTTGGGATAGAAATGCACCACAGACCTATGATGCAAACAGAAACTTCTGTAAGAAGGAAAAATAAAAAATACATGAAACTATTTGGACTATTTATGAGTTATTATCACGGGGCAATAAGTCATCTGACAATTTTGATTGTGTGTCTTTCTAGTCTGAATGGTTTAAAGGTCCATCTCAACCTTACACAAACAAACATGCGGCGAATAAACTGATTTCCTATCAATTTTTTGCACCAAAAGTTAATGATAATAAACACTCAGTGCATTATGTATAGATGTATTTTAATTGACTCCCAACATGAATCTCTCTGTTGTTTTTCTTCATTTTACTTTAAGTTCTTGTTTGGTTGTCAAAAATATCCTTTCCTCTTCTAAAACTAAAATCACAAATCATTGGAAGATAAACAATTTCATTTCACGTCTGTTGCAGAACAGAGAGTTTTAATAAGTCCTGTGGTCAAATGTTTTGTCTTCTTTGTTTTTTTTGTTTTTTTGCAATACAAAAGAAAATTGCTGCAGAGAAAAGTAGCTGGGAAACAAGAAAACAGCACCGATTCAAACGTTGCTTTTCATCTCAGACACAATGACAGATGACAAGACGTTCAGACAAATGCCAGTTTTCTTGTCAGGAGCGAATAAATAAATCAACGCAAAATGCATTTTGACGTTAATGTGACGTTGAGACAAAAAAAAAAAGGGAGAAGAATGGCCGGCTGAAATTCAATTTAGCTCAGAATGCATCTCCCAGTAGAACAGTTCTTATTGCTGAAGACTTTCAATGAAGCCTGAAGGAACAAATAAATCTGGGTTTATATTTGGGAACATTAGGGGATATTTTTGCATAAAAATCTTGCTGTTTATGGCTGTTACTTATCACACAGCAACAGTGGAAAGTGAAAACTGATGTCGCTCGGCCTTTTTAAAAGGACACGCTCAAATTCACGACTAAAACACCAGGAAGAAATGCACAGAATCTGTAATGACTCTCATTACTGTCCTTGTAATGACAAGGACAGTAGCACAAAAACAAAAGTGGCATAAAAGTTCCATGTTTACGTTTAAGACATGGCGATGCTGTCGACTTTTTTTTTTTCTCTCTTTTTTGCCTCTTATTGCTGACAATAAGCAAAAGGTTAAAATGCTGGTTAAATTTCTTTTACACGTCAGGGTAATGAGGCAGTTGCTGAAACAAAAGAGCTTCATTCTGAATGTTGCCTTTTCAACAACACCAGGTTTGGTGTTTCCTTCAGCTCTATTTTGAACGGTAGGTACAATAAAGCTCCTCAATTTAGTCCCCAATTATACAAATATTTTTAAATGGACGATTTTGTCCTGGAAGGATCCACTGCTTTCATCCAGACCATGAGTCCACAAATGATGAAAAGCAATGACAACAATAGGAAAACTTCATTTGTCCATGGTGACATTTGGAGTCCAACCCGACGCCCGTCTTCTGCGGCTCTACAAAACCAACATCATTCCCCAAAGCTCACATCTGCTCTGCAGAAAATAAGCTAGCAAGTCTTTGTTTTCCAAGTGCGGATAAAAACAAAAAAACAAAAGAAAAACTCTTGAAATGCCTGTGCTGGTATAGAGAGGGAGTTGGAATAAAACTAGAGGAATTGGACATCTGGTTGGACATCGATAACTTGATCAATTCATTGATCTCCATTTATCTCCATTTTTTATTTACCAGTTTTTATTTCCTGACCTCATTTTGTCGCACATAAACCTTAAGCCTTACAATTATTTATTTCATTTATTTATTTTACTAGGCTTACTACTTTGGACGCTGCTTGATGTTCAAGACTTTACACAATATTTTCAAACTGTCTTCGGCCCCTGGCTTTTAAGACTTCAGTTTATTTTTGCCCACTGTCTCCTCCAGGGCGTCACAGACACGTAAAGTCGCCGGTGACTAGAGTTTGTCCATCGCTGTTCGCTCTAAAGATGAAGCCCAACACGCCGCCGCCGCTTCTGTTTCTCAATGGTGGCTCCTCGCTACATCCTCGGATAGAGCTGTTGGCCTTGGCATCAAATGTGTGAATTTCCCTCTGGGTATAAACGTGTAGGATGTCAATAGCAAGTACGCGATCCGGAGAGCGTGGCGGCCCACTGCATGCGTTTCACAGTGTTGGGTTTGATGTGGAGGAATGTGCTTTCTGCGCTGCTTGCTGTCCTCTCGCCAACACTGGAGGTGTTCACTTCCAGAGGAATCAAAGCGGTGCATCTTCACTCAAACGGAGCCGTCTCACGACTTTCACGTTGTTATAATTGGACTGTACATATAGAATTGAAAGATGTCGTTTCAAAAATTGTTTTTTAATTGCTGGATTGATACACACACACATTTCATTGTTTCCTCATTGTTTTGTTTGCCTGAGCAATGTGTCGCGCAGCTCTGTGATGTAGGGTTAATTACTCCGCTATCTTACAATGATTGTTTTTGAGAGCTGTGCATGTCTTGGCGAGGTACGCAGGAGGCCTGGCACCAATTCACTGTTCATTATTTAACAATATGATTCAGTTTTCCACATGCTTATTTTCAAGACGCAAAACAAATTTCATTCAGATTACAACGTATGTGGAAAAACCTCGAATCTTGCACCGGGTCAAAATTTGACGCCCAATGGTGATCAGTTTTTTTGAGGATATTTGGATAAATGGCTATTCAATATCAACTTCAACAATTCAAGTACTATATGGTGGCATGTTTTTAAAGGGGCTTTAATTTAGCAGAAGACTTTCAGTATAATCTGGTGAGGAACATTTATAAATATCAAAAATAAATGTTAAAGATGCATCGGCGTATCACATCATTTCTTAGCATTTTGAAGGGTATTTGACCTTTGGGTGGGTCAGCTAGCAAATCAAAGACTCAAAACATACCAAAGAATCCATCGGGCTGAAATGTAGAGGAATGGGCGGAGTCAATGGCCAGATCTCGAACCAGTTGAGATGTTGTGGGGTGACTTGCCCCAAGATACCCCTGAGACATCCCACGGCTGGACGCTAGGAGGGGGTAAACGTTTCCTCAGCACAATTTTAAAGAGTGGCAGATAGCTACAGGGAACATGTCAAAGAAATCACTTCAGCCAAAGGGAGCCAAAGTTAGCACCAGCTGGCACCAGCTGGTGCTAACTTTGTGCTTCAGAATACACATTTTTGTTGACATCGTCTGACGGTGCGTTCAAACCAAAGGCAGTGGACACAAGCTGTCTTTGAAACTGGGTATCCCAAACTTTATTTTACTGGACTTATCAGAAGTACCATGGAGAGCAGTCACAGTTAGTGGCGACACACATATAGAACAACTTTCTGCCTAACAAAAATTGAAAACACACATACATGCCAATTAAGAAACGAGGCATATAGGAATTATAAATCAAAGAAGGAAAAAAAAAAGAAAGATTATTGCAAACCTAACTTGTGTTATTGTTCCATTTTCCCAAAAAGAAAAGAAAAGAAAGAAAACACACACACACCAAATCAGCAAACGTGAAGTTTCTCCGACTACACCGTGGGAGAGGCAAAAGAAGGACAAGGCAGAGTGCATTAAAGAAAGAGGCAATTTGAGGGATTAAAAATGAAATGTGAACGCGGAAGGCTTTAGCAACCAAGGAATCGAACAGATGGTTCAAAATAAGACAGATGGGGTTCTTAAGTACAGATGAGCGACTCTTTGAGACAGAAAGACCATTGAGGACACATGCAGGACATGTTGTGCGTAACTAGATAAAGGGGTACAAGACAGAAAAATCGGGTGGGTGGGAGTCAGCAGTGGAGATACTGCTGAGTCGGCGTGGAAAGCAGCCAGGCATGAAGGAAACGCGACGCGGCCTGATATCGACGGCAAACACAAAAACGACAACAACACCCGGCTGGAAAATGAAGGGCGCAGGAAACAAGACAGTCGAGTGAAGGAAAACAAACCCAAGAGAGAGAGATCCGAGTTGGTGGAAAGGAGAAACAAGGCAGAGAAAAATACAAGTTTTTAACTTCTCCAAAAAGGCAATATATGTCATTCTTGAGTGTAGCGAGTGTCCTTCCGTTTTAAATAAATATGTTGAATTAATTCTCTATGGTTAGCGTATGGCCATATAGGTCATCCCACTCATAACACTGTACAGTATATACACAATATGATTTCTTTAAAGACAAAATAACATTTAGATGTACATACAGTATTCTTCATCTGTCAGAATACAGCCATGGTATTAAAAGTAGCAAGCCATGTATTTCTTCCCTCTTGCCCCCCATTTTCTTTCTTTTTTTTTTTTTAAAGGTTTTATTTTTATTTTTTACAAATAACCCATGCAACTGTCATATAGATTTAAGATATACAACTCCGTTATCTCCTCTCTCATTCAATAACAGCAGATATTGCCTTTTCTACTTAATTTTTTTTAAAAACATAAATCTCGGTTAATGATAATGTGCAATTCATTCAGAGACTCTGCAGCTTTGTTTGAATCAACAACAAAAAAACTAAAAACCAAAAAACAATCAAACAAACAAAAAAAACCAAAAGTTAGCTCTACACCAAACCGGTAACCAAGAAGAAGATCAACGGAAAGATCCAAAATCTGTACAACATTCAGACTTCTTCCCGTCAAACACCATAGGAATGGGATACGATTCTCTATAACTATGTACAGGCATGTCATCATTCATGCACAGTGTCAACAAGTAGCACATCGACATTCCAAAACATGGAAAACTTGGCATAGGGGGAAACGGTGGCTTTTTCTGGGGAGGAAATTGAACAAAGACTACTGCCTGTTTTTGGTTACTTCTGGCAGGACATTTAGAAAGAAAGAAGGAGGAAGGGAATGAAAACACACGAGGACAGATAAGACTTCGTAACAATACACATGCTGGGCAGAAGGAGTCCGTTGTCTCAACTGGCCCAGAAATCAATGTATGGCTGTAACTTCATTATTTATTTATTTTATTTTCCACCTTTGTTCCTCCACGTATATATTTTTTTTGTTGTTGTTTCGTTCTGTCTTCTCTTCGTTAGCGTCCCGCAGTTTGATTTGTTAAACGTTACTTTAAAGGTAGAAAATAACTCTTGGTAACTTTCTTTTGATTGATGTATTTTTTTTTTCTTCTTGAAATCCCAGCAGGACATGTCTTTGCTCGTCTCCCGCCAGAGGGGGGCGTCCGTCCTCCCGTCCTTTCTCCCCCCTCGTTCCTTTGACTGTCCAGTGTTGCATGTATTTATTTCTCAGTCCGTCAGACAGTCGGTCAAGTTAAGGAGTGAATTAGGCAACAGAGACGTATCAACTTTTACATTAGTAGCAACATTATTAATGGTTAACAACTGATTCGACACCACTGGATTATTATTATTATTATTTTTTAACAAGAACATTGTAATTACTGTGTAAATCAGTCAGAACAAAATATTTGAAAAAATCTTGTTTACAGCAAAAGCAGCTGCGCTCGCGAATCGGTTCTGCGGCCGTTTCGCTTGGCAACATGAAGCAGTGCAAGGTTTTCTCCTTCATATTAAAATCTTACTATTGAAAAGCAAAAAAACCAAAAAAAAACAAAAACAAAAAGCCCAAAAATGACTGCAGCCTGCAGCACGTTTGTTTTGTGTTCTGGCCGAGAAGCAAACTCGAGAGCTATTGCAATTATTCAATAAGAAAATAGAAGAATAAATTAAAAGAAAGAAGAAGAAAAAAAAAAACAGCCCATTTGGTATTTACAGATTTGCTGGTTGCCGCTAAACATTTTCTAGCCAGTAAATTAGCTTCCTCGCTCTGATGGTGTGAACCGCTCCCATTAGCTTCACGTTAGCCAAGGCCGCCAGTCAAAGTGGGCATAGATGAAACTGTGTGCAACGATGCTGGTGTTGCAAGAGAGAGCGCTCGCCTTTCAGCCAAAGAAAGACGTTTGCTTCTGCTAAAATTGTGCAACAACAACAAAAAAAAACAATAAAAAAAAAAAAAGCTGCATTGCTGCAAGTGCTTCGTTGCTGTAGACTCTCTGCAGCGTCTAAGAAAATTCATGTCTTGAAGTCATTTAAAGTTAATGCAGCTTTTTACATGTTTTGTTGGGGTTTTTTTTTGTGTGTGTGTTTTTGCACGTGCTAGCATAACTTCATTTTAAGTCGTTTACAGTGTATAAACCTTCAGCTCCATGCCAGTGAAGAGACAAATACATAAAAATCGACCTGGAAAGGTTTAAACAACACCCATTTCCTGCAGCTCCTTAAAGAAATGTGATAGTATATTTGGTGTTTTTGGAAAGAGATGTTGATTAGAAAACCATTTACTGGATGGGTTACAAATATTTCTGATAGAAAGATGTCCCTTTGGCAAAATAGGGGTAAACTGCCACTCCAAAGGCTTCATACGACACCTGCTGTCTAATGCAGAGCTTTCCATATTCCAGAGTTGGGTTGGTTTTTGTATCTTTTTTCTCCGCCATTTTGTTTCACGAACACAAGTGGCTGTGTGAGCCAGGTTGTAGGATCTTTATCCCATCAAATGTCCTCTACTGTCAGCTAATTGCCTACAACTCTACTCAGTTATTTCATAAAACTTGGAACGTTTGTATTGTCCTTCAAAAGTTTCTGGATTTACATCCAATGAATGCCTCCACTCCACTCTCACTGGCATCGACAAAAAAAAATAAAATAAAAAATCACTCCTAAGTTTACAACGGTTTACATCTAGACCGGACTAATTATTTTACAGATAAAGTTTAAAATACTGGTTATTGTACATCGACTAAAAAAAACAAAACAAAAAAATCTCACATGGGAAATACTTGCCAATTAAGTTGCATACAGTAGTGCTATAGTACAAGAGTGTATACACTGAGATCCTTATGGTTGTAGCTGAATAAATAAAATAACAGTCTGAAGTCTAAACTTCTCACAGTCAAATTAGGCTTATTAATATTTCGGGCTCCTCTTTTTGATGTGAAGTTTAACACCAACATCGAATGGTCATCGTTTTAATGTGTGGTTTTGGATGAGATTTGCAAAGTCTGGTAGGTAGAATGAACGGACAGTAAAGCTAACGCTTTAAAGTTTTTTTTTTTTTTTTGCCATTTGGACCACTGCCTCTGCAATCAGCCAATGAAATCTTTCTCTTAAGCTTCCTTAGAAGTGTGCCAAATTTCAAATTTCGTCAAAGTACTAACAGAATTTATTGGACAAGCATTTGGGTCCTACATTATTAAGTAAAACTGGACTTTTTTTTTTCTTCTGTTTTTAGAATTTTACCAGTGAATCGGAGACATAAAGGTCTTATGTCCAACAGTCTGAACATATAAACACCTCATGCTGAAATTATTTATCATCATCACCTTTACGAGGCAACAACCTGGTTATTAAAACTGTGCATTAGCCGTTGTTTCTTCTATCAACCGGCTTTTATGTTTGAACTAAATATTCGGTCTCAAAAATTAGACACGCAAGAAAGAAATGGCCGCTGCCTTGTAGCTAAACTCCGTCCATCATCATGTGACATCGCTCCTCACCGTTGACCAATGTACGTCTAAGAATGATAAACCCAAAGCCGGAATCAGGAATTAGCGTTTTGTTGTAACAAAGCCCTTGATATTAGAAGTATTCAAATAGTTCACCGAACAAGCGGGTTCCTTAGGAGACGGGATTGTTGTCCGAACTTGTTTAGAGAGTCGAACCGTCGAACAGATTCGACAGAAAGTCCATCAGGTTTTGCAGATATTTGCATGAATGATTTTCAATGATTTCACTGAAATATGGTTGCGGAAATCTCAACTGTGGACAAATAAGACGCTCCCACAGAGTTGGAAAAAAAAAAAAAAACAAATCTAGAAGATTAACTTTGATATTAATGCGACGACTATGGTTTCTCTAACAGTTTTCAACGGTAGAGTGGCCGGTGCGTCTTCTCAGACGTGGCCTTATTAAAGGTAAAAGCACATTAACCCCCACCACCAACTTTGATTGAGAAAGGACCTTAAATCATTTGCATCTACAGTATAAAGCAACAAAAACGGAGGGCCCTTCGGCGGGGGTCGAGGCGTGCAGCGTTGACCAAGACATTCAGAACCAAATCGATGGAATTGAAATGTGCGTCTGCCTCAGAGTATTTACACGTGCCGCCCCGGCGATGATCAACGTTTCGCCACACGTGACGGGGGCCCCCCACTCCCAGAACAGAAATCCCCGATTCAGCATTTTCTACAAGCCGCGAGAGTCAAGAGGACCTCAAGTACAATAGCATGTTCGTCTTACGCAGCAACAGCAAAAACGAGAGGCATTTTTAATTTTTTTTTTTCACAGTAGTTCACCATCGTCCTAAGCACACCAACACGCCCTCATGCTCCTGCAGAAACACACAGATGGCCGTCGATAATTGGATGTGGTCGAGAATCCGGTTTGTTCTTACTGTGTTATGCTCGCGCTGACATTTAAAAATTCTTTTTTTATTTTTTTGGAGCCGGACACGAGAAAATCAATGCTCCAACTTGCGGAGGTCTCCTGTTTAGGCCACATCGTCACACTTGGAGCACTGATGATCGCGTTGGATATTTGGATTATGTCTGATTTATCTGGAGGGAAAGACATTTGTCATTTGGTCAAGACAGCGTGATGCGTGAGGATTTGTGGAGTAAGGGGAGAAATGTTGGGGTTGTTTTGTATTACTTTTTGCCATCAGTTGAGTAATTTCTGTAGTGGCTTTAATTCTCAAGTATAATGTTCTTCCGCCCGCCTTTGCTTCCTTTCACTACGTTTTTAGATTCTTGAGCGCGTCTGAAAGTCCTTCACCTGTACATACATCCATTCATTTGTCATTTAACGTATTGCACTGAGGGAAGGAGTAATAGATCAACAAGACAACCTTAAATTTCCAAGAATCCATTCCATTATTTTCCCTTTCTTCTATCCTTCCGGTTCTTCTGTCCCACCCTTCTCTTCGGGATCTTCCGCTCGCTCTCTTAAAAGCCTTGGATGTGGCAATAGGCCTCCAGTGAGGAGAAGAGGATGTAGAGAAGCCACAGGCTGAAGAACAGCATGGTGGTCAGGACCTTCGCAGTCCGGGGCCCGCCGAGCTCCCCGCCGATCTCTGGCCGCCGCCGGTACATCAGGGTGGCGACACAGATGAAGGCAAATATGGTGAAGAGTGTGACGGAGAAAGCCAGAGTGCCGGGGTCGACCTTAAACTCGTGGCCCTTGCTGTTGTGGTAGATGGCAGCAATGGACCACGCCACCTACCAGATAGAGGCAGACACAAACTCAGTGACGTGGAACACACTTAGGTTTTTAGAAAAGTGTAGCGACAAAGGCAAAACCGCCAAAGAGAAACGTTGACATTAGCTCCGTTCTCACCCCGATGCCCAGGAACACGTTGACGGCATTGGAGCCTGTCACGTTGCCAATGGAGGCGTCTGCATACTGGTCTTGTATGGCTGCAACTTTACTGGCAAATGTATCTGTGTGGAGAGACAGAATAAAAAGGAAACAGATTGGAGAAAACTCACCAGGCCACTTCAGGCAAAAGTATAAATATAAAAATTTTACAATAAATCCCAGGTTTTGTATCAGCTTCCTACAACACGGATATCATCAGGATATGGAGCTGAGGGTTTTCTATTTTTTGGGAGTTTTACTGCAACAACAGTGGCCAGGTAAGAATGACTGAAGGAATAACGTGAGAAGAATAAAGAATGAAAGACACGACGGAACAAAAAGTGAGCAAGCGGCGAAGGAATGAAATAAGGCAATAAAACTGGAAGGATATAAAGAAGCAATGAAGGGAGCTGGGAAGGACAGGATGTAAGAAGGACACATTTAAACAAAAGGGCAACAGATAAAGTCTGAAAAATAGAAACGTTTGTCCATATTCTCAATTTCTTTTTCCGAACTTACAACCCAGAAAACGGCCAATCAAATTTTATGATTGTCCAAATTTTACCCCAGTCTGCATAAGAACAAGAAAACCAGGCTTGACAGAGCCTAACACTGAATTTCACATCCTTCATCCCAATATAGGAGCATCATGCAAAGCCAGACACATGAATATACACAAGCCTTATACATATCAGTTAACTTCATTTTAGTTATCTGAAACATACATTATGTATTTATATACACCAACACACCCTGCATGGTACAATATAGTGGCACCAGCTTCACATTAGCTCAGCTTTAGTTCCACAGTCCTAATTCGGGTGAGCCAATTTCCAAATTCAAACAGGAAAGATCAAATTAGGAAACCACAGTCTTGTAGACGGCTGTCCGGGTGAGAAGGGATTCATTGGCCTAATCAATAATTTAGAGGGATGAATCTCCATTTTCATAGGCAAACAATTTTTGGCCGGGTGGCTAAAGAGTTTTCCCTCCTCAGCCCCAAACGCTCCTCTGAGCTTCATGTCTGCCAAGCTCTGAGGGGGGGAAGGGAGGCTCTTCATTACTTTACTGACAGAATATGTGAAGGCGCTGCCAAATCTTGACAATAGGCTTTTTGGGTGAACAAATAGCCAGTCAGCACTCTTTCTCTCGCTAATTAGCCAGCCGCGCCATTGTTGCAGGAGTTTCCATCTTGTTTTCATCCGGCCAAGGCAGAGCGAGGAGAGAAAGGCAACGTAACAGCAGAGAGGTGAAGGAAGAGAAGATGAATAAGAGCTTCCTGGCAGCGACAGCCAAGTTGGCATTTGCAGTGAGATGGAAAAAGAATGGCCGGAAGGACAGCGCGCAAACGGAAAGCGAGGGTCAAGACAACGGACTAAAATAGACAACGGACTGCCTCTCAATGCACCTCGATGCTTTCAGAGCCATTCCGGTTTGGCCTGACCGTGGCTCTGTTTGCGTCAAGTCCGATGTACCGTAAGCCCGCACGTGTGCGAGCTCCAGAAGAGAAGAGGCTGCGTAAACAGCGCTTGTGTGTTTCTGAACAAGGCCTCCTGGGTCCGATCCGACGCCATGCCTCCACCAGCTGGCAAAGGCTCGCGAGTGTGTGCTTCAGTTGCTCTTGCGAGTGCCTGTGAGCCTGATTTGAGCGTGGGAGAGTGTGTGGGTGCCTGCATGTTCAGTCGCTCACTGCATGTTTGTGCAAAGCGGCTTTGACTCTGCGGCTCCTTCTGTGACAGTACGTCTCCCAGGAGAACTCCCTGCCCTTTTCCTCCTCTACCTCGCCGTCCGCCCCCTTGCCTGCGTCTCCTCCCTCTCTCTTCCCGGTCTTCTTTTCCCTGTTGCCTCCTGAATTGGAAGGAGACGCTTGGGAGTGTTTATGTGCTGAAGCTAATCGTTTTTTTTTTTTTGTTGTTGTTTTTTTTTATTTTGGGTTGTGTTATTTTCCTCGTCTTAAAATCGGCAAAAACATTTTGCGCCTCAAAATTCAAATGTGAAGGATTTATCTTATCTGAACAAGGATTGCAAGCATCATCTTTTCTTTGTGACCTTTTATGAGTTGTATAAATAATTTAACCTTTTCTTTTCTTATTTTGAAGACAAATGGTCAACACTGTCCCCTTCCTAAAATAATTCCGAAGTCATCTTTTGGTTAAAAAAAGTTTAGGGGATATTTTCCCCGCAAACAGAATTAGCTGGTTATTGATGGAATATGTTTTGCTCTTTTGTAGCAAGTGCATTACTCTTGAGGTTTTCTGGTATTATTTCTCTTTTAAATCAAATTGCATTTTCTGAATTGGTGGTTGAGAAAAGTCTCTTGACTTAAATGTTTTTTTTTTCAGAGCTACAATTTTCTGAAAATTGTGACGTTTTCTTGCCCCCATTGCTCACCTCTATTTTCTGAAAGCCCCTTACAAACACAGTTTAGCCCTGAACTAATTATTGCAAACAAGGTTTTTGCCAAACTACAAACCCATTCAAGTTGCCATCTCTCTCAATTCTCTCTCTCCTTTTCCTCAGCTCGATGCGCGTGTTTATGCGCATCATCTGAGCTAACTGTGATACACGAGGTTAATCATCTCGGAACCGCAGCACAGGATGGGTTTTATTAACTTTAATGGCCAGGGCTCGGTCTCTCTGTGTCGATGTGTGTGAGCTTGTTTTTGTGTGCGTTCTCTTAATCAGGCCGACGGCCTCAGGAAGGCGACAGCACTTTTCATTGCTGTTCTGAAACTCTGCCGACCGTGTGCACATCTGTTTGCAGTCGACTTTCTGGCCTCTTCTGGCTGATGTATTGGTCTGTGAACCCGGCTGTTGGCAGGTCTGCATTTTTCTCTGGATGTGCACATGTGTGTAGGATGCACACAACACATTACCTTCATCCTCCGAGTAGGAGGACGGACCACCTGAGTGCAACTTGACGAATGGAGCTGCGCTACCAAAACGCTGTGCTGCAGTTGTTGTGTTGGCATTTCTCGGCTCACATGGTTCGCAGGTAAACGTGTCGGTTCTTTGCTCTTTTGGCATTTGCAGCATAATGTGTAATCGGATGACAAGCGCTTTTGCTTCCCGTTAGGGTGAACGGGGCTACAAATGTCCATCCTTCAAGCATTTCTGTTTCTGTTGGCCGTGATCGCCGTCGTGAAAGCAGTCGAACTCAACGATGCAGAAAAACACTTACGCTGCATTATAAATGAAAGGAAGAAGGACGAACAACGAGCGTTATGAATGTGAAAATGTCTACAAAATGGTCCCTGAAGGGGATCGCTGAGTAACACACATCTATACCAGAAGAAATTTTGATCTGGGAGGAGAGCTAAATGCCAAATGAAAAAGGGGAGAAAAGATTTGATTAAGCTGATGGAACATCCAATAATGGAAAGTTGTAATGAACATTCTGGAAAAAAAAGATGCAGCGATGCCAACGCGTGTTTCAGAGGGACTTGGAACAGTTACTAACATCGAGGTATTCAAATAACTGATAAATATCATGTTCCTACAATTAAGATTTCGAAGAAAGTGGCAGGAGTTTTATTTCTCAAACCTCAGTGGAGTACTGGGTAACAAAGCACTGCCCCTTCCCCACCTGTTGCTGCACACTGAATCAGCAAGCTCAAACGAAGGCGACTGTTAAGCAGTGGACTGCAGCAGAAACACAACATTATGCGCACTAAGCATTTCCAAATGTACAATAAAAGTAGCAGCGATTTTGTTTTTCATTGAATAATTCAACTTCAGATATACCTGTAATAATCATTAGTTAGAAGAACTGCTGGTTTTTTGTCTTTTCACTAAAAGCTTTTTCTCTTTTCCTAACGTAGGTGCTTGACGTCAACAAGCGCCTACATTATTCCCCAAGGCTGTGATGCTGCAAGAATCCCACCGCTTAGTGCAACTCTGTGAAGCATCAAATTTAGTGACTTGAGGAGCCTTGCACATTCATTTTTTAATTAACAGAGACGCTACTAAGAATAAATAAAACGTTAATTTGAAAAAGAAAATCTACTTTTGTGTATAAAAAGCTTAGACGCTCACAAACATCTATTGACCATTTGTTTTGGTCAGTAGATGTTGGTGGAAACTTTGTTTGGGAGTCATTCTGACCCGGTGCGGTTTGACTGGGAGGTTTCCAGGTTCAGCAGGGATTCGATGAACTTAAATGAGATTTCTGTGGCCCACAAGGTTCTGCTTGGTAGGAGAATTATTGGTGCTTAGAAAACATTTTTCTGCCTCCCGGGTGAATGAAAATCTAAACCATAAGGGTTCAAAAATGCCCGATGATAAGTGTTGAGACATTTGCTTGTTGCGTGTAAAACTGTCGTTTCACCATTTTGGAGAATTAAGCTTTAGTTTGTGTGAAATTGATGGGAAAAAAAAACAAATAAATCAATCCCCTGACTAAATGGTCACAGTATTCAGAACATGAACATGCTCTCACCTGGCACAGACGTTCCCAGTGCCACAAATACGACTGCTGTGACGGAGTCTTTGAGGCCCACGGTGCAGCCAAAGTGAGATGCCAGATCCCCTGCAAAATATCACAGGAAGTACATCACAGTGATGTCGTCTACACAGGACATGCTAAACGTCGTACTGCATGAAACATGTCAGGGCAACCTGGTCAACGTAATATAGCTACAAATGAGATGTAGAAATATTAATTTATTCAGTTGGGCAACAGTTAATTCATTTCAGCCGAAATTCAATTGTAGAGAAATATTTCAAAGTTTTATGTGGATCTAGTCTGATAAGTATGGTTTGTAACTAATAACTCAACACAAGCTGTATTTCCCTCCCCAACAGAACTTTGCACCTGCTTGCACTGCAGAAGGTGTCGATACTTTCTTTACAGACCATGGTGACACTGTGCAAGAGGATTAATAAAATTAACAAACATAAACACTTCAAATAAACATGCCATGAATTAGTTTTAAAAATAAATAAATAAATACATTTGGACGATTCACCAAAATATCCAAATGCATCACGATGCACATGTGCAGTGAACTACTTCATTGGGACTTTGTGCTCACCGATGACAGCAGTGAGCAGTCCAATCATACAGATGGACACGACGAAGCAGGCCCAGCCGCTCCAGTAGTCGGTGGGCGGGACGAAGGCGAACAGAACCTTCCAGAAGACGGTCAGGAAGTGCATGACGTAGTCAAAGCACGACGGTAGTTTCTCCTCGCCGCACTCCTCGTCGTCATCGTCCTCACCTGGGAGGAAGGAACAGAGTTCAGGGAGAGCGTTGATTGGGATTTTTTTCTTTCTTTCTTTCTTTTTTTTTTTTGTCAGATGTCGACTCTGCGGTGCAGTTGTTTGTCAGAAAAGCCAAAGATGAAAAACAACAACAAAAGAAAAAGCTCCCAAATTATATCCACTCCTCGAATGTTGTGATTCTCTGAAGGTTTTTCCATGCTGGTTTTCGCTGCACCTCCTGAGTGATTTCTGCTGGCATTTCTGCAAAGCCTGGTTGGTTTAATAACCATGGAAACAGAGGAGTTGTTTACCGGTGGGTGAAGCTGATTGCTTACAGTGAGATGTCAAATCTGTGATGAGTTTAATAAAACACACAGTCAAGCGAAAACAAGATTAAAAAAAATAAATAAAGAAATGCAACGATGGTACAATGTTCCAATTCTTTGTGCAAAACAGATTCACAATGGAAAAAAACAGCATCACCTTTATACCATCCTAACTTTAACTTGACATCTTGAAAAACCTCATCAGTGAACGCAAATAAATGTCAGATAAATAATTTGTGACACGTCTGTGTAATGTCCGCATCAGAGTCTAATCACTTCCTCAGGACATGAGCTACAGCCATCCTGATCGGCTCTCAGAGTGTGGATATTGACTGTGATTAAATGCAAGAGCTGCTGAAACATAAAATTCAAATTACTTTTCCAGCTCGATAAAAAAAAAAAAAAAAAAAGAAAGCCAGCACCCCATCCTCCTCCCCCAACACTCCCGTTTCTGCTCCGTTTAGAAAAGGCTCAAACCAACGAGTAAATGAGGCTCCACGCTGCTTCAGTGAATCGCAGTGATTGGGTGAATCCCAAGGAGAGCAGTGATCTCCCACTGATTTCATTCCAGTCATCCACCACCCGTCTAATACAAAAAAAATTTAAATATAAAAAGATGCCGATGCGATTCAGTTCCCCCAAGCAAACCACAAAAAAAGTTTGCACATTTAAGTGAGGACAGTTTTCCACCAGTCGTCCCCCCCCGTCCCGTCCCTTACGTTGTCCACCAATTGCTGAAGCATCGAGTGTAACAACCGTCCATGCAAACAAAGCCGGCATCCAGAGTCACAGTGCCACTTCAGTTATTAGAGTTGGAAACTGGAAGTCTGACCAGGTCAGAAATCTGGACGGACTCTGACCTGAGCCTTCAGAGACACATAAAGACAATGACAAAGACAGACTTCTATCACCTGAAGAATACTTCCAGGATTAAAAGGACTGATGTCGCAACAGGATCTAGAGAAGCTTATTACATATATATCTTGGTCCCTACAACAGCGTCTTCACAATTCTACCTAAAAACCAAACCAAACCAAAAAAACAAGAAAAACAGACACTTGATCTAAAACTCTGCTGCTTGCATTCTCACTAAAACCAGGAGTGCAGACTTTTAAATAATGCAGTTTATAAATGACCGAACGGCTTAGCACCACAATACATTCAAGATCTGCTGCTGTTGTATCAACCTAGACTATTCGGGTCTTCCGGTTCTGCTCTGCATCCCCATAAACCAGAACCAGACCTGGAGAAGCAGCATTCAGCTTCTATGTACCACAAATCTGGAACAAGCTTCCAAAAAAAACAGCAGAAACACAGAGTTACTTCAAATCAAGACTAAAACCCCACCTGTTTGGCATCGTCTCTGAAAGTCTGCCTCCTAGATACATGGAAATATGAGGTTTCCATGTATCTGTAGTCTGGTTCTCTTGGAAACAGCAAAGCTTTTTATTTGTTTTGCTAAAAGCTAATTCAATTAACCGACTATAAAAGAAACATTTGGATCTGGCCATTTAAGGGAACACGGTTGTTCACTCTGTAAATGGGAAGCTAATTCAACTGAGGTGTGCGGCTTCTATAGCTTTGCGTTGATCAGCAACACAAACGTTGGTAAGCTAATTTGAAGGACTTCCATGCGTTTTCTGCAGGGGCCTCGGAGCCTGTAATTAAATATAATGGTTGAAATCATCAAGCACAAACAAACGGCAAAAGGTCAGTGCAGCAGGCGACGCTGTCATGACGCATAAAGGTTTCAATCAGGCAGAGATCCTCGGCCATGAATTATAAAACGAGTCCAGTCATCTGAGTTATGTCACTTCATACCGTCAGCAGCTCTCCTTCCTGCTCACGCGCTCCATCATGGCTGACTGGAGCCGCTTTCTCGCACTGCCCTTCCACTTTGCACAGTGTCGGTGTGTTTTTAACAGCACCAATCTCCTCTGTCTTCCTTTATCTGCAAGCGTCATTTGTAGATATAAGTAATAGATTTTGCCCTGACATTTTCCATGTTTTTGAAACGCTACCTTGGATTCAAACACCGGGGTACCTGCGTTGTTTTGGGTTGAAGTTGACGGCATCATTTTGACTGGAAACATACTCCTGCGCTTCCTTTTGTCCTCTATTTGATTTCCTCTGAAGTTGATGTTTTGGTTATAATGTCTGTTTTACTCAAATTCCAAAATCAAATTCCCTTGGTTACACACACAATGAAACCCAATTCTGATTTCCATATTAGTGTAACTGCATCCATCCTCATCCTCACTTCTGTCTTTACTGAGTTGCCAGGCTCACATTTATATTTATGTCTCCTCCAGTTTCCACCTTTTGTTCCTCATGCATGGTCTCAGTTTGGCTCATTTTTTCTTCCCGCTCCGTCTTCTGACCATTTTTCATTCTCTGACCATCTTTCTATAGCTCAATACATCCTATGGCCTTGTCATTTCATCTGCAACGTTCTGTCACCTTTTAAATTTTATAGCAAATCTCTCTCTGTTGTGCGCGTGTATTATTGTAACAACATTTAATTATTTTGTGCCGTTATCTCATTTGAGCGAACAGCTGCAAATTACTATGTGCAAAGAAATATTTTCTATTGATTTGCTTTATCAGGGGAAAAAAAAAAGAAGTAATTTATTCCAGCTGAGTTATAGAAGTAGGTCGTCTACCACACTTTTCTTCCTTGCCTGACGGAGGTGCTAGATTGTTCTCGTCTCTTGCTGTTCGCTGATAGTGTTCAAAAGTCGCAATCTCGTAGGGTCTGACATATGATGATGAACCGCGGCGTGTTTCTACAGGCTGCTAGCCAGGCGAGGTGTGTGTCCATGACTGTGTCTGCCTGCAGCGCTCTGCTCTTTAAGTGATATGGTCTGTGCACAAGAGATTTGGGAGAATCCTGTCTGACAGTGTGCTTACACAAGGCTCTCATCCAGGCCCACAGACGAGCAACGCAGTTTGAAACTGATGTGGCCAAATAAGTTGCGGCGCAGGAAAACCTCGGATGCTGAGAAGAGTTTCTCTCTAATCGCGAGGAGAGGAGGAAGGAGTTCTTCAGCCTGGCAGTGGAAAGGAGACTTCACTTGTTACATGTTTCATTTTTGATTTCTCCTTGAACGTCTTTTTAAAGGGGCCTTATCATGTAAAATCGACTTTTTTGAGCTTTACACGTCGTTATGATGTTACTCCATCATCAAAGCGTTCCTCGAGTGTTGCCTTGATTCTTTCATGCATGTTTGCAAAAATACTTTAATCACACATGCCGACAATTCGACTGTGCAAAACACCTGGGTGGACCTAGCACCACCTGGCAGAGCAACTCTCCCCTGCGACTCCCCGACTCAGTTCCTTCAGACTAGCCTGCAGCAATTAGCAAACACAACTGTGCATCTGCTGAGCTTGCTACACTTCTCAGTGCAAACGCTGGTAAAAATGTTGTTGAATGATTAATAGAGGAGCGATGTTATGATGATGTATGAGTTTCAGAAAGAGTAGGAGTTTTTAAAGAGATATTGGCCCAATTTCAAAGTTACAAAGTTACTTCATACACATATAGCATTTTCTTAACAATCGAAGTTTACACTTGATTGTGCTATAAAATGGCACAATGTGCCTGGGAAACATAATACCGCCACTTTAAATGAAGCCTTGTCGGCTATCTCAATACTTTCTGTAAATCTCTTTGATTAACTTTGTCAACAGCAGGGCAACTGAAAAAACTTTTCTATTTTATCATTAGTACTTAAGATAACAGATGACCAAGTTTAGTCAGAGCTCATTAAAATCAGCCCTTTAGTTTTGAACTTCACTGCAAAAACACACAATCTTACCAAGTACTTTTGGTTTAGTTCCTGGTGCAAATTTATTGGTGCACTTGAAATTCAACAAAACTAAGATACTAGTCACTTTTCAGCTGAAAATAGGAGCTTGTTTTAAGTCGATACTTTCTTAGTATTGATGCGAAAGTGCTAGCAATAAGTTAATAATAAGTCAGTGGAACAAGACATTTTTCCATACTTGTATGGGAGATTTTTTTCACTTACAAAGACTTCTTTTTAAATAAAATTAAGGAGTTATTGACTTAAAAAAAAGCTCATATTTCTTGCTGTAAGTTAGTTTAGTCTTATTTCAAGCACTAAGGTATTTGCACTAGAAACTAGACCACAAGTACTTTGCTTTGTGTTTTCTGTTGTGTAATTGGCCCAAACTATGCCAACCACTCCATTCTGGCAACGTCCGTAAGTCATCTGTATCTTTTCAACCGAGTACCACAAATGACTTAGAAGCGGCGAGGTCCTCTTTACAGATTATGGGAAAACTTAATAATGTTGGTTCACCACAAAAAGTCGTTTACTGACAGCAACATGGAGCTGCTCTGCGAGAAACTTCGCCACGACGAGAAAGGGTTTTGTCGACTTCGTGCTGCGTTACATCTTTAGAGGCGAGGCGTCGGCCCACTGGAACCCAAAACGGGCAACTCCCGGTCGCTGTGGCGCAACCGTCACTAACACAGAGGAGGGAAAGACAATTCATCAACTGTTCCTCTTTCCAACGTCACTTGGACTTTGAAGGTTTCAGTGCAGTCACAGAAATACATCGCTTTGATTACTGAAACCATCAGAAAATAGATTTGACAGGCCTTAGACAAGCCTCACATTATTTCTTGAGCTTCAAAGTCTTTTCCTATTCACTTCATGCAT